ATCTTCAACTACTTTTGTTACGACCCTGGGCGTACATTACAGAGCACACAAGACGCACAATTCCTAAACGCAGAGTAAGTATTCTGTAACAAGCAGAAATAATTCGAGTTAACAGAACCACGAAGCAGCAGCAACTGAATTCAATGGTAAAGACGCATCCTTGGATACGGGCGTCGTAATCAGTTTACCGTTAAATAAGCCAGCGCGCTCTACAGGCCAGACAGACAACCACAACACGCGAACAAAACACAGTCTGCTTCTTATAAAGACACATAGCCTCATTTTTACATTGAACGAAACGAACTGATATTTTTGGCTACTCACATGAGAGAGGACGATCACCAATTTTAGATCTTAGATCCACTGAAAACGCAACCACGAGAAAGGAAATCCAATGGGAATAGGGAATTTTGCATACGACCATTTAAGGTTATTAGAAAAAAGGAAAACAGAAATATGACTGTACTCTAATCTACAGTCTATTGTTTTCTGTAGTTATTTAAAAATTGTACCATGTGACTAAGTCCGTAGAGACTTTGAATAAATGCGTGTCAGACGTAATATTAGCATTCCTTCATTAAGTGAGCGACTACCAGTTTCCCAATAATGAATCCGCTTCGTGGAGTTAAGATGTGTATCTTTTAACCTCACGTAATGTAAACTGAACGAAGTGTTTCAAAATTTCAATATTTTTTCTTGATTTTGCTTCTCGTATCACAAAATGTGGAACACATATCGTATTCACCGCTACCAACGTCTGAGAAGATCAATTCTATAATTTTCTGACAGATATTTAAACTGCAAGAAACACGCAATTTGTCATTTCGTCTTGGCAATGCTATTTCAGGACAAGTTAATTTACTGCAGACATTAATATGAGAGATTTTAATCAACAACACAAATATTATCAAGCATTGTACAGACCGAAGGCTGGAGATGTGTGTCTCCAGTGTACAGTCTCTGCTGTTAAATAACTCAAGACATTTCACGACATTCTCTAACGCCCTAATTATGTAGCCTGAGGTAAATCGATTTCGACCGACTATTTGGACATTGACTCAGCTCCCGAAACGGCGACTATGTTAAATGTACTTCAGACAGTGGTAAGAGTCCAGCCAGTTATAACAT